GTGGAAATTTTTTCCTGGTGACTTAGACACCCTAAAAACACAGAGTGGGAAACGACTGTAACTAGAAAACTAGTTTTCCTGGTCCATAAAAATTCGGTGCCCACCCTGCCGCAGGTCATGCCTTGTCCCCTGCCTTCCACAGGCCCCCCCCCCAGACTCCTGCAGGGGAGCAGAAACCGCTTACACGCTTTCCTGCAGTCCCGGGACATCATGCTCAGCCCATGCTGTGTGTTAGAATTACCTGAAGAACTGGAAATCCTGTCAGGGCTTGGGCCTCGTGACTGCCCCACCCCCTCTTTCCTCAGCTTGGGAAGGGGCTGCAAATGATCCCCAGGTGATTTTAATGTGCAGCCAGAAACAAGAACCACTGCTCTGCTCTCTCCAGTTGCCAGGGAACAGTCCTCGGATTCCTGTAACTTTACTACACACCGAGAGGCTGGAGTCTTTCCCCTCTCTTGCCAGAATCTGCATTTCCTCAGACCACAGCCGGGTTGTAAAAGAACATTTTCCCTTCCTCCGCTGTGTGGACGCATATGCAGAGCTTGAAAAAGTGGGACATACCATATATATTGTTCTGCGTTTTGTTTTCATCACTTGCTTTCTTTCATACATGTGACACTGACCTGCCTGTTCATTTAAAGAGACACAAAGTACCACCATCATTCACCAGGTACCTGAATTTACATATCCATGTTTTCCACTGGCATCATCTGGGTCTCCTCTCATAGGGTGCTGTTGCTAATACTACAAAGGGAATTTTTGATTTCTCCTAAGAAGGGAGGGAAATAGTGTGTATATTTCAACGTTTCAGGAAGATCCCAACGTGATTTAGGATTTTTGTATGTCTGCTTAGTAAGACCACAGATCTGGGAGTATGGAGCTCTGCCTCCGTCCAACTAGTGACTACAGGTTTTACTGTCTTTACTGGCCCTTAATTTTCAGAACTGTACAATGGGAATACTAATTTTCTTTGCTTAATTGTGTTGTGTGCCTGATAGTACCTGTGAATCATTGTATGTGGAGTCTGGCTAAGCCTGGTTAACATCTCGGTAAAGGGTTGCTGTGATTAATAATGCTATTGTAGGACTAGAGATGTGGTTCAGATGGTAGATGCTTGCACAAAGCTTGGGCAGAGTTCCATTGCCAGCACCACAAAAAAATTGGGTGTTCTGGCACTCACCTGTAATCCCGTGGAGACAGGAGATCAGAAGCTACACCGTGAAATAGAGGCTAGCATGGGATACATGTGAGCCTATCTGGAAAAAAATGGGTTATAACAGTGGGGTATTAGAATTCAAGATCCTCATGGTGTGGCCCCATGCTTTCCTCTCTCCTCCAGTAGTCCAGAACGGAACGTCAAAGCATAGCTGGTCTTCCCAGTACTTCTCTGCTTGAGTTGGGCTTTGCTGTTTTCAAGGTTAAGGGTTTGATTTTAAAGTCTATAAATGCTGCAAATAGAAGAGGTAGAGGCAGATCCTAAGTGCAAGAGTTGAACAGGTTGTGTATTAACTGGAGTGGAGACGTGGCATGGAGCTAGTAAGAGTGTGAGCTCACAGCTCAGGTCTGTCATTAATCCACAACCAAGAACTAACTGTGGTACCTTCAGCAGCCAAGGACAGTCCCCTTCCCCGCAGAGGGGCTAGATAATGAGGAGAACTTACTATCTTAGGTCACAGGAGGTCTGGGTGTCCGGCAAGTCCCAGTTGGGCTCCTTGAGCAACTCCGCAAGACTCCCCAGAGCCCAGTTCCTCACATCTTTCAAAGACAGTGTGTACAGCTCCAGATATTATCTATCCTATTGCTGCTCTCGTCCTTTGTGTCATCTATAGACAAAGACAAGGCATTTCTCCTTGTATCTCTTTTAAAGTGTAAAGGAGGCATCCTTCCAAGTCTGACACCCATTTATCCTCGAAGCCCATTGATACAAATTGAATCAATGTCGGTGTGTGAGCAGTGAATGAACATTCATGATTTAGGCCACTCTGGGATCAGAGAGGACCTGGCCAGGTCTGGAGCACACAGTTTCACAATCCCTGAATAAAGCAGGTAGCCAGTAAAGGAGGGATTGGATTTCCACAGATCCACAGCATCTGGCTCTGCCACGTGGGTCTTTAAGGACGGCTTAGATCCAAACTTAATATGCAAATCTTCCCACTAATCATACAAAAATATCAGCTTTGAGGTTTATCACCTGGAAACTCAGCATAACAGAGGCAGGGCAAGGATGTTTCCTGTTATTTTTAGAGCTGGGAATGCTAGTTACAAGTGAAGAGCCTAGCTGCAAAAGGAATTCAGGGGAAAGAAAGGGTGGAGTCAGCCCCTGGCCTGGAGTGTGTTGTATGATGCTATCAGATCTTAGGAGAGAAGTTTCTAGACAGTCGGGGAGCCTAGAAGGTATTCCTGGGGTTGTGTTTGTCTACTACTGGATGGTCCCGTGAGCCTCATACCCAACACCCACAATGTAAGGAGCAAAGATGAAAGGGTGATCCCAGATAGAAAATTCGTGTTTAGATGTCCTTTATAGATGCCCAGGTCCCCATAATGTGGAGAACCCAATTCTTTGTCTTGGCCTTGCATTACCCGTTCCTAATCCGAAGGACTGATCCCAGGTATACAGGGGCACAGTCCTGTGTATGCCTGGCAAAGCGGGGTACGCTGTGTGGAAGCCAGTGTTCCAAGCTGGAAGACAGCGATCAAGCCACCTAACCAAACAACCTAAGGCCACTGTGACGTCTTGTCTGTCATTGCTGTTCTTTTAGCTTTTGAATGCTTCTGACATATTTCCGGGCTGGTGAGTAAACCGACAGTGACTTGTGGAATGAAAATCCTCTCTGCACACCAGATTCTATCATGTCTTGGTCAGGTAGCAAGCCTGTACAAGAGGCAGGGCAAATCAGCCATGGTGAGATCACTAGGAGGAGGCAGCTGGAAACACTGTGCACATGTGAGGGACAATGCGGGGTGACTGAGACTTGAGCTCCAGGCAGCACAGTCCAGTTACCTTTCTGTCAACTACCTCCATATCTTATGCCCCACCAATCCACCAGAATCTCAAAAAGAGTGCAGAACGCTGCAGAGAAAGTCCCATTTTCAGTTTCTTAGAGACCCTAAAAATTTTGCTCAGATAGCACTTTGGAGAATATCACCAAGGGATTCACAGTCCCATTTACCTATGCCCTCCCTCCGGATACCCTCTAATTTGGAGTTTCAGACTGATTGGCAGATAGGCTCCACTGTGCTGTTGTGAACGAGGATCAAATAGAGAGAGTGGTCGATTCCCTGGGCTTCTGATCTCCTTGACATCTCTGGCTTTGAGTTGTCAATATTCACAACCCATTAGCACCAGTGTTGTATTGAGAGGTCTTTGTATATTTTTTAAGAACAACAACAACAAAAGTTAAAGAACCATGAACAAAAGATGTGAAAAAAACTTAGAGAAATCAGTGTCAGTTCTTGGAATAGGAATCCTGTGAAATAGGGAACCAGGGGAAATTTTTCACCATAAACATGCTATAGGGAGACATTTTGAAGCTCTATGTACTGTTGTTCATCTGGGTTTACTTCCGTCCATTCTACATGCATCCCTGAAGCTCAGACAAGTCATGTTGGCTCCTTGAGCCCTGACTTCTGGTCTCTAAAATGGGAAAGACTATAGCTTGAGGTTTTTCAGCAAACCTTGAACTTAATTAATTCTCTTCACTTAAATATGTTGAGGGACAATGAGGCAGGGCAGGAAAAAGTCTCTCTGAAAATGGTGCCACAAGGCAACTTATCCTAACACCAAAGCAGACATTTCCTTGGATAGTGCTGTGGTCCACCTGGCTTCCCGTCAGTCAACAGCACCCAACCCCACAGAGGTCAGCTGTCCCAGTTTCCCTTGCTTCCTAACAAGGAGCAGAGCAAGCACAGCATCATTTGGCTGGAGCTGTGGGATAACCTCTAATACAGGGTCAGTCTCAATGTAACTCGGTTTATCCCTCACTAGTTGTGTTTCTTTGGGCAAGGGCATTACTGTCTCTAAAGTTTATTCTTCCACTTCCCAAAGTTGAAACGGTAGGAGAAGACTTTTGCAACACATAAGATCATTGAGATAGAGTGTGCGCTGCAATCCCGTGTGCCCAGCCCACAGCAAGCATTCATAAATAGCCACAGTAGCTGGGTCACTGAACGATGAGTCTTAGCAATTATTGTATAAATCAGGTTTGCCTACAGGTTGAACATCTCTCACGAAAAAAATCTAAAATTGAAAGTGTTATAAAACCTGACATATTTTTTATAATGGCATGAGTATAAAATTCTCTACCTAGCTACATGAGACACAATGTGATCAAAACACAAGCAATCTAAAATACAGTATAAAATTACCTTCCGCTATGTGTCCAGAAATTACACATAAATGAATTTCCAGTTTACACTAGGATCCTGTCTCAAAGACATCTCATATTATACATGCAAATATCACCAAATTTCAAAACACTAAGGTTCAAAACACTTCCGGTTTTATCCGTTTCAGATAAAGGATGCTTCACATTCTAAGCGTATGTAGTTTTAAGCTAAAGAAGCTATTATGTATTAGAAAATATTCCATTTCCTCTGCCTTTAAATTGTTTTTGAGAGAGAGGCAGGGGGTGGGGTCATAAAGTTGCATAGGTAGGAAGGGGGCAGTATCCGGGAGGAGCTGGGAGAGGGGAAAGAACATTATCAAAATATATTGTATGAAAAAATGCTTTAAATCAAAAGCAAATAAGCTGACTATGTACCCTGCAAGACAGTAAGCTTTGGTTTCATGGATTATAGATGGGCTCACGGTTGGGGTCTCCCATTTTTTCTCTACCTAAGGCTACAGCTACCACAGTATTACCAAAGCAACCAGCAAGTGACACATGACGCCCCAGAGCCCAAGAATCCAGCCTTCTCAGCGCTCCTCCATGGCTCTGAGGTAGAGCCGGGGCCTGTGCTTAGGCCTGCCACGCTGAGCTCGCCTCTGTCTTTCCCTATAGGCTGTAAAGCGGTTCTTGAAGCAAGAATGCAAGTGTCATGGTGTGAGCGGCTCCTGTACTCTGAGGACCTGCTGGCTGGCCATGGCTGACTTCAGGAAAACAGGCGACTATCTTTGGAGGAAGTACAATGGTGCCATCCAGGTCGTCATGAACCAGGATGGCACCGGCTTCACTGTAGCCAATAAGAGATTTAAGAAGCCAACGAAAAATGACCTCGTGTATTTTGAGAATTCCCCAGACTACTGTATCAGGGACCGAGAGGCAGGTAAGTTACGAGAATTCCTCCAGTGAGCAATGTTCTGCTATCTAATTGGGCACCTATATTTTTCAGCAGGCCATTTGTATAGTTGCACATGCCTGCCTTCAGGCTCCAGGCATGTTCTTTCCAGGGTGTTCTTTCTAATCCCTATTGAAACTGCACAGAAAATTCTCCCTAGCAGCTAGATAAACAGGTGCGGATTCTGAAGAAACACAAATTAACAAGAACGTATATGGCAGAGTCAAGCAGATGGATAGAATTCTTGCCTGCACAGAATTCCAGGTAGGGGGATGTGGAAACAACATGTGATATCGCCCAGCATCTTTCCTTGATCCTGAGTTGATTAGGGGACAGTTTTGTAATACCCTCCCAAGTACATACACATCCCTCCACCGTGACTCTGAAATGGCCCTAGGACTTGGGAACTTAGCCTCTTCTGAAGTCGACCCTGCTTCATAATCCCTTCTGTTTTCAGTGTGTTTACAATTGTCAGACACTAAAAAGAATGAACCCCCATGCTTTTGACCATAGGTGGGTTGTGTAGCAGGCGTCTTCGCAAGAGGTACCTCATTAATTAAAGCCACACCCTCTTCCCTCCCAAACAACGAATTCTCTGTCTTGTGCTCCAAGAGTCATCCTTCCATCCTGGACACAGCAGCTGTCCCCACCTATCTGCTTTTATAGATATGCTCTCCCCATTGCACACCCTCAAGGTCAATAATAGGCTGCAAAGACCTCAAAGATTCTCCAGCAAAATAAGAATGGGTGAAAAGGCCTCAGTGGATGGGGGGTGATGGGAACCCACAACCTACTCTGCCTCAAGTCATTTCCTTATTGGGAAGCGATGGCATTTACTGTCAGGAAAAAAATAGCCTCCAATTTAGATTCTGAGTTTGCTTTCCATTCTGAAATAATTGCAAAAGAGTCAGTGAGGCAGTGCAGATGCAGCCAGCTGCTAAGGCTAGATGAGCTGATAGGGAGCTTCATGAGAAGCCTGGAGCCCTTTTACTGCCCTTTTGTCATTAAGTTCCTTTGGAGTTGGATGACTTAGCTGTCTGCAGCCTGTAAGCATGTTTGTACATGCAGCCTGCGAATTCTCACTGCTGTGCACCGGGACCTGATTCTATGCATTGTTGCATTCCTGTCACGTTGAGGGACTGCTACCAAGTTGTCCTACCTGCCAGGCAGCAGGCTAAATTGAACCACAGTGAAAACTGTTGCTTTGATGTGAATCAACACAGGGGACCATGCCCGTGTCTGCCCTTATCTACTTATTCGACTCTACATAGGCCATGGGCATGGAGTCACCTTAATCATTTTAGGTCCCAAGGGTAGACCCTTGTGTACTGAACACTGTCCTAAGACCATTGTGCACCTACCTGGTCTTGTTGAATCTATGAAGCATTCCTGAGACATCAGTGCACTACTGTACATTTTTACCTGGGGAAAACGGGACAAAATTATAGATGCTCCTTAGCAGTCAACACCAACAGTCCTGGATATCACTGTCCACATTGGGCAGTTAAGAAAATTGAATTCCCTGTTCCCACATCATGTATGGAGGAGATGCATGTCTGACCCTGTGCTTGGCCTGAGCCTTGAGCTTAAGAGGACACATGCGCGTCACCTATTTCCTAAGCAGGCCTGTGAAAAGACCTTAAGACCAAAACTTCACATCAGATCTCAGAAAACCTGCTGCCCAGCAGGCTTTTTTTTGTTATTTGGGTCGAAACAGTTTACATAGTGAAGGAAACATTTATGAGTATGTTCTTCCTCATTGGTATTCAGGGAGCTAAAAAAACATGCTTTCTTGTCATACAGAGAGTTTCTGAATGAACTCCTGCTTCCCTTTAAAGTTATTGGGTAAATTATTCTTACAGACCTCATTCTTCACATTTATGTTAGAATGGAATTCTGGTTATTTTGTTTGTTTTTAAGTGCGTGCGTGCGTGCGTGCGTGTGTGTGTGTGTGTGTATGGTGCATGTGAGACACCTGCCAGAGACCAGGCCAGGAATGTCGGGACCCCTGGAGCTGGAATTATAGGTGGTTGTAAGTCACCCGGCATGCATGCCAGGGGTTCAAAGTTGGGACTCCTGCAAGAGCAGTAAATGCTATTGAAAGCTGGCAGTGTGGAAGCCTGCTCATAAAATCACAGGTATTTATTCAGTGCCCACTGTATCCCAGAGCTCATCTGCATGTGCTCATCAGATCTCAGCCTCTTGTGTTATAGCAGTGGAAACTGAAGCCCTGGGACGCTAAGAACCTTGCAGGACTCTCTGTCTGTCCTCTCCATCATTTTAATCTGCCTCTAGCTGCCCTAATCACAAAAGCATACAGTTAAAGGACCGGCTTTCATAATAAGCTATATAATTTGATCTTTTATGTCCATACAGTCTTAGAAATGTTTTAACTTACCTAATTTAAAAGCAGATGAATATTTTGGTTCTTGAGTGGTGCTGATCAAATAGGAGCCATCCAGGTCTTTTTAAGCATACAGTTCCAATACAATGGATCACATTTCCACTGTGTTTACCAGATTGTTTGTGATTTTATGAACTATATAGAAATGATGCCCTTTGTAGCTGTGCCTGAGAACATGCCAAAGTCATCTGTGTAACCTGAAATGTTTCTTTTTTTAATTTTAGTTAACTGCATATGATTATTTTCATAAAAATATGATTCAGAATGTTTTATATCTCATTAGGCAAACGTCCAGCTTGTTAGAAGAATATTTTGATCATGAATATTTCAAGTATTATGCAAATAGTCACAATTGTGACTGGTTGGGGTCTTGACCATTTTCCTGTGACTGACTCATCTTCAGATGAGGGTCTTCCTGACTGGGATAAACTTCTGTGGTGTGTGCTCTGCTAAACTGGTCTACAACACACTGAAAGTTTCTGGGTACAAGATTGTTCCAGGGCAGCCCCTAGACTCTTTGGGGAGAGAGAGGTGTGAAATATCATTCTGAGCCACAAGAGAATTGAGGCTTCCTGCATCTGAATCACAGTGGGTACAGGATTTTTCCCATTGGTGAGAATAAGGTGTAGGTCTTTCAGTCTACATGAGGGAAGCTGCCAGTGTGAGTCTGTAACAGAATGACATACTGTATGGAATAATCTTACCTTAGGAAGGGACTGCCTTCTGGAAAATAGAACTCTTGTGTGTTTAAAATGGGTTATCATTAAAACAGATTTTGTTTTATTAAAAAAACGTGCTAGATAAGCTCCAAGATAGACCAAAACTTTGTAGTAATGTTTAAATCAACACACACACATTGCTCTTCTTTCTTAACGGTTTTGTTTATTAAAATTCATACTCATGCCTCCTAGATTTCACCTTCTTTCCCTGAATGTCTAAAGTAATGAACACTTAATTTTCAATTTACTGGCACCTTCTCCTGCAGAGCATTAGAAGGTTGAGAGTGGCCCTCGGGTGGGTTATTGGTGTGTGTGGGGTGTTTGAACTAATTGACTATGCTCTTCCTGTTCCCTGCGGCATCTTGTTCCGGGGTGCGATGGGGTGTTCTGCAGTGGTGTTTATGCAGTGGATATATCTACAGGCCACTTCTCCATAGTGGGGGCCTCCTCGGAGACATTAACGTTTGGAAAATCAGTGACTTGGTAGTCCATAGCCCTGGTTTACTCCTACTATCAGAGAAGAGGAATTCCAAGGACACTTTGTTCTTAGAATCTCTGGTCCTTAGAGAGGATGAAAAGTGTTCTTTGAAGAGCTCCGAATAGATATTACTCAAAAAAATGTATCCTGCCCTGGCTCTTGTGGATAAAGTGTTCTTTTTGACATGTAGACCCATCTCCAGAAGCTCTGCTACAAGCAGTTTGTTTAAATGGTTTCATCCAGTAAGACTTCTGCTGGAATTAGTTTGACATGTTGCTTGTCAAGTCACTCCTCCAAGGAAACTGACACAGTGACACCAGGATGAGTGAATGCGATGAGACTTGGGGGTTGAATGTTTCAGGTGAGTACAGACCTCAGTACGGATGCTGGGAGCACAGCGGAGTTCCTGATAGGTCAGTCTCTTCTACATCCCTTACACGTATAAACCCTAACTCTTGGCACAGTACCCTCATTTTCAAGTCAAGAAAATGGAATCCCAGAGTTTTGTAATTTGTCCAAGATTTCGTGGACTGGAACTAGTTAACAAAATAAAAGGAGCAGATAAAATTCAGAACAAAAATACACACTTTTCTCACTATACTACTTCCCTCCAAACAGGATCCTTAGAAAGTGGGGGGGGGGTCTTCTGTAATAAAGATTCAGTATGAAGACATGGGACTTTAATGGGGGTGCCCACAAAACTGGGAGCTCAAAACTGACCAGAATTAAAAAGTCACATCTAGATTCTGCTAAAGCCCCTTTCAATTAGAAGCTCTCCAAGACCTTTTCCTGTCCTTTTTATTTTCTCTTGTTTAGCATGCATGTGTGAATGTGTACATTCCTGTGTGTGCACGTGTAGAAGCCAGAGGGGGCATTGTCTTCCTCTATCATTCTCTGACTTATCCCCATTAGGCAGCATCTCTTACTGAACCTAATTCTTGCCATTTTGGCTAGACTGTCTGGCCAGAAGCTTCCCAGGACCCACCCATCTCTGCCTCTCAACACTGGGGTTACAGGCATGCACAGGCTGTGCCTGGTTTTTATCTGAGTGCTGGGGATTTGAACTCAGCTTCTCATGCACTGAGCCATCCCCCTAGCCCACCATTTCAAATTTTTAAGGGAATCTCTTATTTTTCCTAATAAACAGGAGGGAAAAAAAAACTTGAAGAAGAAATTGTGGAAACAATAGCCAAACATGACCACTTATTCTTTAGCTGAAGAAGGCAAGTGTTTTCTGTTGATCAACTATAAATACCTCATCTGCAGCACAGATTTGCAGAGCACAGGGAACTGTGTGAGGTTGGGTATGTAATATTTTACAGGCCAAATAGGAGGCCACATCTTAGAGAGGGACTTTCTGGGATGAGCACTCCAGTGACTCTGGAGT